TTCAACCTTCCCATGTAGCGTAGACCAAGTTTTGGTGTGTGGCATGCTAGCTTGTTAAGCACTAACTGGCTACATGGGCCCTGCTACCGCACACTAAGAATTCCATAGTTGCTGTTTGAGTTGGGAGTATGCCAAAGTGCATTACAGAACTTTTAGTGCACAGCAGCACAGTCTACATGACAACGTCAAAAGTGTGGTATAGAATTACACCCTTGCTTGCCGTACACTAAGTCTCCATGTACAGAAGCCCTGAGTCAGCAATAGGCCACAGTAATAGGAGTTTGAAAGTTCTCGACAACTGCCAACAGTGTGCTGAACACCCACTGCTTCCACTAAAACTCATGGGAGTTGCAAGTGTTCATCTTTTTGTAGCATGTTGGGCAGTGGAAGGGGTGAATCCTATTGAGTTACCTTTCTATTTTCTAATGTCATGAAAGACCTAAAGTGAAATCTGTGCTTTTGATCTGAAATGAGCACAGAAAAGTTGTTATTCCTTAGGGCAGAAGCAAGCATTTACTTAAATCACATTTTGTTTCACTGAATGTGTGCTTTGATTTTTGTTAATCTGTCAAAAAACATTCTCCATCAGATGCAGAGTGGGACTTTCTAGAGTTACCAGGCAACCCTCTGCCCATCACAGTTGCTCTGAGACAACTGTTTCCTTAGTGAATGCCGGTTAAGTTGAACATAAAGCTTAATTAAATCCTATGCTCTGCTCTGTCCCAGGTGATTAAATAGCTTCCAACATAACCATCCATTCCTTACTCCTGTCCATAACAATCTCTACAGGCAACACAAGCCTTCTGACTCCGATTCCAGTACAGCAGTGTTTCTCAACCTTTTTTTTATAAAGTACCCCTTTAAAAAAAATTATAAGTACCCTTCCCCCATCCCCAGTACCTACAGTTTTCAGACACACAACATTTTTTTTTCCTACCATTGCAACACATTTGTTTAAACAACTGAATTGTAGCCGGGTGGCCGATGAAATTTTTGGGTGTAAAAGGTACAAAAATAATAAAGCTCTGTAAAACTTAAAACAAAAAAAAATCATTTTTCTCCAAATTTCAGTTGTGTTGATGTACCCCCCTCCAGACTTCTCTTGAATACCCCTAACGGTACTTGTACTGCTGGTTGAGAAACACTGCACTACAGTGATACAGTGGTAGTTAAACTACAGGTTGAACCTAGTTTGGCATGCTCTGGTCTGGAAACATCCGAGGTCCAGCATGATTGTAGTTAGATGGCTATCCATTTATTATGGGTGTGACCAAGTTTCCTGTGATCCCATAACATTTTTTTACAGCCACCAATCATGGCTCTCAGTGTTCTGTTCTGTTGTTTAGCTCTAATTAACCCCTAAAAGTCTTTTATGAGCCCAGTAAGAAGTAGAAATGTTGGTAATGCTGCTAGACATTATTGGCCTCCCATGGTTCAGCAAATTTTCTGATTCCGCACCAGTCAGGTCCCAAGGGTACTGGGCTAGAGAGGTTCAACCTGTACTTGTGCCTTGTCTACACCAGTGTTTCTAGTTTGATAATGTCATTGGAGTTGTGGTGCTAGATCATCACTTGGTGATGTGCCTGTTCAGATAAAGCCTAAGACCAGCTATAAAGAAAATGCATCAACAGTCCTTTATTTTGAAGGGTAAAACATTTTATTCAAGGGTCCGATTCTGCTCTGATGGATTTTGGCGGGAACCATTTCTAGCCAAAAGTTAAGACTTCAGAGCCAATCGTATTTAACAACAACCACAAAAGGCAACACTTGGCTAAGCGTTGGAACAGGATGGCAATTTCTAGACCTTACATAGAAATGCATGGCCTTCTTTGTGGATGTAAGGAAATGTATATGCTTATTATATAAGGAATGACAGCTGAACAGCACTCTTGCAAACTCAGCAGGAGACAAGGGGTTGAAACTCTTTCTTATTGCGGGAACTAGAATCTAGGGCAGAGTGAGTCTCTGCAGGGAAACCATTGTTCAGCCTAGCTTGAGGAGAAGACCTAGAGTTATGTTCTTTAATTATGTTGAGAGTTAGCACTGAAGCTAAGCCTGGGGAAAGAGGTAGTTATGCTGTGTGCTTACTTTGTCAGGAGCAAGGCAAAACTCCTTCCGCTTTCAAATGTTGTTTAAGCACATGACTTATTTAAACAAAATCCCACTCACTTTTTTGGGGTAGTGTCAGAGAACATTGTTGCTCCAGCATGTTCAAAAATTCAGCTGACAGGAGCAAGGGAGCCACTTTCATTTACACACCTTCCGTCAAAAGAAATAGCAGGATAAGTCTTGTGGGAAGGAGCATAATTATAACATTGACTCTGGATAGGGAGGAACAAAGCTCAGTTTAAGCGTACTGTTGTGCAGGTCCTTACTACTGTAGTAAGAATGAAGTTCTTTCTTCTGATATTTTAGTTACAATTAAAGAGCACAGAAACAACTGAGCTGTTTACATTTGTACAGCATATGCTGCACAGTCTTTCTCTAATTTTTTCACTGCTCCCTAATAAAGAATTTTATATTGCAAACATTTTAAATGAATATTATGCAAAATCCCATACATTTCAATGAGATTTCACATAACAATCTCTTCATTGTATTGGGACTAAAAGTGCATAGTATGTTATTGTTAGGCCTGCTTTAAGATATTTTAATATACCATGATGTAGTTTTTTATCCAGCAATGGGACATGGCCTGCTGTCCTTCCACTCTGCAGAATACTAAAATATATGGTATCTTGTTCGTGGCTGTTTGCAATCACAGGCGTGTGTATGTACATCACAAGCCTTCACATCACATACTCACTGTCCCTTTTTTTTTTTAAAAACTATATGAAGATTCCAAAGTGTTAGACATTGTCCACATGCTAAGACTTTTGGTTATGATAAAACAACTGGACGGGTCAAAATCTCACTGCATGTAGAGTTCTGTTGATTCTGAGTCTGTGGGATTATACCCAAGGGGTGTGTGTAGGGGTTTTCTGCTTTTGCGGAAAAACTTGCCAGCTGTCTACACTGGCTGCTTGAATTTCCGCAAGAACACTGACTTCCTACTGTCTGAAATCGGTGCTTCTTGCGGAAATACTATGCTGCTCCCGTTCGGGCAAAAGTCCTTTTGCGCAAAGCTTTTGCACAAAAGGGCCAGTGTAGACAGCTCAGTTTTGTTTTGCACAAAAAAGCCCTGATCGCGAAAATGGCGATCGGGGCTTTTTTGCGGAAAAGCACGTCTAGATTGGCACAGACGCTTTTCCGCAAAAAGTGCTTTTGCAAAAAAGCGTCCGTGCCAATCTAGATGCTCTTTTCTGCAAATGCTTTTAACGGAAAACTTTTCCATTAAAAGCATTTGCGGAAAATCATGCCAGTCTAGACGTAGCCAAGTACTATAGAAGTATCTGATGTAAAAATAATTAGAAGAACACTATCCTTGTCTACTTACACAATGTCTGTTTGAAAACATTACCCCACTGTAGGCAATATGGTCACATGACACCCTGTAGTTTTAGGAAGTGATCAGCATACATATAATCAACCTATAACTTAGTGACAAAAAGCTCAAGTCACAGCGTAATAAGCAGTTGTGGTATCTGAATGTGAGTCTTCAGATCAATTTAGGGTACCACTTTCTGAATTTTCCAGCAAATATCACAAATATACAGAGTAAAGCTTAAAATCAGAACAATGGACCAGTTTTATTGCTGCTGTAACTCCACTGACTATAACCTCAAAATCTGTTCGCCATAGTCACCTAAACACAGAACTCAGTGGCGTTATTTCAGAAATGCATCTAACGCTTTCTTTTTACAGCTGCAAGTGCCATTGTCCCCTCAGGAGCTGAGTGTATCAGATTCCACTGGCAATTGCAGATAAAGACCAGACGGCAGCTTGTTCATCCATTGCAAGCTTTTAGTGCCTATGACCTGCTTAGGAACTAGAAGTGTGATGACTATTATATAACTCTCAACTTGCTGCAAATTGAGTGTCATTTATGATGCTTGGAATATGGCAAAACAGCAGAGTGCTTGAGGGCAGTGGCAGATTTATATCTGTCACCTGACTAATGTACTGTGAAGATTATCACAGGACTGTAAAAAATAGGATTCCAAATTAAGGGAAAGGTCTGGGAGTGAGATGTGGGGTTATTAGAAGGGTTTATGATTTATGGGGGATATGTATCTGGGGCTTATGGCCTGGGTTGGGTTTATTTAGGGAGGTATGGAATGGTGGGGAGATAAGTCGGGGAGCTGTGACAGGAAGAGGTTTTATGGGTTTGGCTTTATTTATGGAATGGAAGATATGGTGTGTTTATTTGGGGAAGGAGTTGCAGGGGTTTAGGCAGGGGCTGGCTGGGAGCTCTGGCAGGAGTGGGCTTGGGGGCTATGGCAGTGCTGAACTGTGGAAGGCAGAGTACTTGGGAAAGGGGGTGGAATGTGTATGTATGGGAGTGCAGGTTGCCGTGTGGCAGTGCTGGTGGCCACAGCTGATGGTGGCTGTGTTTGGCTCCCTCTTCATCAGCACCTTTCTCCCTCTCTTCCTGCCGCCACTCTGCTTTCCTTTCTCTGTCCTACTTGTTCTCTCCCTTCCTTGCTGGCACCAGCCTTGACGCTGCTCACAGGCACTGGGGAGGGATGGACTCAGCAATGTCATACCAAGGCATTAAAGAGTGAGATGAGCTCGGACAGTGTGATAACCAGGGCCATAGAAGTATCCAAGATAAAGTCATATTAGCGAATATAGAGTTATCAGATAGGAGGGTATTTTCCTCTTGCAAAATGTGGTTTGTAATTGTGTCCTCCTTGCCATGAAGCAAGAATTGATACTGTAGGAGCTTTGTGATAGAATACTTGAGCTCAGCCAGCAGAAATATTGTGCTTATGCAGATAAATAACTAAAAGAAGAACTAATATTCTGGACATTAATCTTCATCTTTTACTTGGAGAAGGTATGCATGTGTATCTTTACGAATACGGTGTTTATGACTAGTATGGTCCTTTTGCTTACAGAATGGACTTAATGCCCTACACCTGGCTGCCAAAGAAGGCCATGTGGGACTGGTACAGGAGTTACTGGAAAGAGGGTCAGCAGTGGATTCATCTACAAAGGTAATATGTACATGATTATATGGTTTATTTACTGAGGAAAGGACTAGAAATAGGTATTTCCCCTACTGACAGATGGACAGTCCAAATATTCAGGAAACTTCCAAATCCATCAATATTAGAGGATAGAATACCACTTTGGTAAAACATACTGTATAAGTTTCATCCTAAATCGATAGGACCAGATCTTTCATTGACTTGAACTCGTGAGTTTGATTCAGAAATTATACAGCTGAAATTGCGTGGCCTGTGATATACAGGAGATCAGGCAAGGTGATCACAATGGTCCCTTCTAGCCTTAAAAATCTGTAAAACTAATCAACTGAGGCTCGTAGATTATAAATGAAGATGAGGACTAAGGGATATGTGTACAGTGGGAGCCTTTAAAGTTGCACTATGATGAAGAAAATGCCCTTTCTAGTGGTATTTTTCATTATAGAGACAAGGAATATAGGCTTAGCTGACCAATCATAGGCTATTTCAGAATAGTGAAAATGTGTAAGTGTAACATACACAGGGCCCTATGTATGCTGCAATACAACAGGACCAAGTTCTGCAGCAGTAACTTATGTAGTGCAATTCATCTGTTACTATTCTTAGTAATGACTAATTCTCATGAAGATTTTTCAGCTTTGCTCTGCAGATAGTGAAGCTGTATGGCCTTCAGCAGTTATCTTATTTCAGAATAGTGAAAATGTGTAAGTGTAACATACACAGGGCCCTATGTATGCTGCAATACAACAGGACCAAGTTCTGCAGCAGTAACTTATGTAGTGCAATTCATCTGTTACTATTCTTAGTAATGACTAATTCTCATGAAGATTTTTCAGCTTTGCTCTGCAGATAGTGAAGCTGTATGGCCTTCAGCAGTTATCTTATAGGCTAGGAAGAGAATCTCTTTTCCCCATCCAGTGAGTGCCCTAGGAA